TTCTTCTTCTTCGTCTTCTTCTTCTTCTTCAGCGTCTTCTTCTTCTTCTTCTTCTTCTTCTTCTTCTTCTTCTTCTTCTTCTTCTTCCTTTTCTTCTTCTTCTTCTTCTTCTTCTTCTTCTTCTTCTTCTTCTTCTTCTTCTTCTCCTCCATGTACAGCGAACGAATCGAGTGTATAACGACAGCATGCCGACCTACGTGGTTGCCTGACTCTTTGACGCTCAGCGGGTATATCTGGTCTCTGCGAAGTTGCGAACACAAATCATGCACAAGAGGGTGTCTTCTCCTTCTTCGGCTACTGCATCGACTTTCTGAAATTTATGGGCAAACCGTTGCAGGCTGCATTCACGATCTCCATCCCGGCCCTCGACATAGATGGTGTCGCGCAGTTCAGCAGGCGTACACAATTCAAGACCCCCCAAGCAAAAAGAACTACCAGCAAGGGTTGTCCTGCAGCGAAGCGAGGAGTTTTCACCCCTGTGAAACGCCGGCCCCCGGACTCGACCATAATTAATGACTGATGGAGGAAATAGTTGGGGGTGTTCATAGTCCCAGAACACAATTCAAGGACCCCTCATGGGCTTCTTCATGCCTGTGGCTCTGTTGTGCTATCGCCGACCGTGCACTGTGCTGTGAACACCAAGAACCAGGAACTACTACCAGCAAGGGAAGGGTTGTCCTGCAGCGAGGAGATCTCACCCCCACGAAACGCCCACCCTCAGAGTCCACCGTAATGACTGATGAACTTCAGATGAAGGCAATAGTTGGGGGTGTTCATAGCCCCAGAACACCGTTTTATTACATTGTCAAGTCGAATCGCCTGCAGAGTCGACTGCATCAAATGATCGAAACACCTGTTTCAAGAGAAATGACTTCAAATAAGTTGAAATAAGTTACTGCAGTGTTCAAGCTAGCAAGGAGAAGATTTACCATTCCTTTTGCTAAATTTGCTTGCAGCAAGTGTTCATGAGTGACTTAATCACTACATCGTCATTGGAGTCGTCGAGAGTACCTGATTACTGATTAGAATGGGGAGAAAAAGTTGTGATGGCAACGAACTGCAGAATTGAAGCTGCGTAGCGTTGGAAAAGACGGACGACTTCTTTCTTTCGCCGCAGTTTCGCGTACTTCTTGCAGCAGGTGCTGTGGAGTGAATGACTTGTCTTCATTGGATTACCGGCTTCATGGGAATAAAACGCGGGGTCACTATCGCTGCATCTGGACTTAAAGTTGCGCCGAATACAGCTATAATGACCGTGCGGCGGCGTTCAATTCGGCTGAAGATAGTAGTCATATTACCTGAGTGGAATGCCGAGAAAGAGTAGTATAAGTGCAGCTTTCAGGGCGTACTCACGCTAGGACCCTTTTTTTTACTTGTTCATGGACATTGTTGCCGTCACGTGCATCCAGGTACCTGGCGGTAAATGCGGTCAGATGCATATAAGATAGTGATAGTGGGAGTACGGCCCCAAGCTAGCAAGGAAAACCCCAACCACTCTTTTTCACGTGCTTCTTGCAGCAGGTGCTCTTGAGTCAGTTGATGACGACATCCGCATTCAATTTGCCTAAGTTCATATTTTACCTGAGTGTAATGCCGAGAAAGAACGCTGCACGTGCGCATCCCGGCCATTCACAGCTAAGTTTCTTCTCCATGATGTGTAATGCGGTATGAGCGCCCATTGCATTGAGTTCATTTAGTATTATACTATTATTATTATTTTAATTTTTTTTTATTATTTTAAAATTTTGGCTACTATAGGATGAGAAGGACTGTACACCACTGCAGTGTTGAAATACAGACGTATGTTCGAAGCCCTCCGGAAGCAGATGTTTAAAATAAAATACTGCAATTCTGAATTACCTAGCCCCAGTTAGTTGCGTGATGATATCTCAAAGCCGTGCGTAGCCCTTTTATTTATATAAAAAAAAGGAAGAGGAGGATTGTTTGTTTCAGAAGTCTTGGCTCTGCGTTTTCACTTCTCCTTTCTGAAAGGCGGCTGTGTTCGCTGCATTCAGTTGAAGTCCTCACTGGGGTCAGGTGGTTGAGTCCACTCTCAGTGATCAGTTTAACATCTCATCTGTGGTCCATCGGGCCACTACGATATTAAATTATTTTTTCTGGGCTACGGAGGGGTCATATGGGTAGGCTTGCCTGCTCGACCCCTCCAGCGTTGCCTCTGTATTGCACTGCAGCAGAGTCCGGGGCGGCCCTGAAAAAAAA